GATGAAAGAGAATATGCAGGCACTTTTTCCAGTTACAAGTATATTCTGTCTAGCTGATACTTGTATTTGAATGATAAATTGGAATTAGTCTGTTACTTGTTTGTGTAGTCTTACTCCACCATCACTGAATATGCTGGATGGAGAGAATATGATCTTTCTTCTAAGGCTATGGAAAGAAAATGTTTAGGCTGACAATATACAGAGCAGGAAAATAAACTTATGCTGGAAGGTATGACTGGACTGGCAGTTCCCCAGGGGAAGCATAAATATGTACAATTTTAAGACAATATCCTTAAATACCACCACCTGCTTATACGGGCAGCCACATGTGTCCTATGAGGACATGATGGTGAAGCAGCTCATGAAACACACTTGGTTTTAGGGCTTTGCAGAGGGTGAAAAGAGCTTTGAGCTGAAATCAGTTTAGCTGTTAATGTGAGTAAGAAGCTCTTTTGCCTAATAAAGGAGCTCTTCTCACACTCACAGTGAACTCCCTGAGTCCCTGGCAGCGTGCAGGTCTTCTCAGAAGAGCATTAACAAGGACTGTGATTTCTGAAAGGGCAATGACTATCTTTCTGTTTCAGATTTCCCCCCTTCTTGGTACACTGCCGCCTTCTCCCAAATACCAGTTAAGTGCACTGGTTATCACCTGTCTTCTAGATAGGTCCTTTTTTTCCTCAACCAGGAGAATATTTTGCATTTGCCTTGCTAAAATCCCCAGTGCAGGAAAATCTTCCACTTGTAGGTGGATACCTGGCTGGGCCTTTGGGGTTAAGGTTGTTTGTCAGGAATGGGATGGGTTATCCCAGGACTGTCTAGGTGGTAGGTTGCACCGCTATGTGCACCTAGAAAGAATAGGATCACTGGCCCCTGCTTTTCCATGCAGCTTTGGTGGGGCAGGGTCTGAGTCTTGTGATCACTTGTGTAGCACAGTTTTAGAAAGAAATCTATCATCTCAGTCCCTGAGAGCTGGGAAGAAAGCTTAAAATGCTCCAAAATAGAAAAGAAAATTAAACTCCTTGCAAATTTCTAGAAATCTTGTATTTTTTTTTTTTTTTTAGCTAGTCTCACAGTCCTCATGTGCTCTGATTGGCTGGGTTTGGCAGAGCTGAGACTAGGGCTGTTCCGAGCTTGTTAGTCTCTATTACAGCAAAGGGTAACAAACAATCCCTCAAGTGTTTTTCTGTTGTATTGTTTATGGCTTTAAGTAGTATCCTTTACTTTCAGTTTTGCAGCAGAAGCAATCAGTTCAGATAGTTGTTTTCTGCAACAGGTTCTGTATATGAGTCATCCTGTGTTTATCTCAAAGCAAGCACACAACAGTACATTTAAACTAAAAATTTTTAAACTAAACAAACTGGATTGCCATGACAACACCTGCTACCCACAGGAGGAGCTGTGTTTTTCCTGAACATGCCAGAGATGCAGAGAAGTGAAAAGAAAAACTTGATACCCGCTGAAACTTGGATTTCCATGTTCAATTTGCAAATAAAAAGAAATTACTCTGCTGTAATGCAAATGCTGTTATCCAGCCTGGGGGAAAGCTGATTGCCAATTAAGAGGCAGATTCTTCCAGTCACCTCACCAGTGATACTTTATCTTGCCTAGGATTAACTGATAGAGTGGGAGAAGCTACAGGCAGGATTTTTTCTCCCTTGAAATTCCAATAGACATGAGCAGCAATATAGAGAAGATCATTAATTTAAAATGTAATTCACTTAGTCAACTAATTAAAAGAAAATGCTTTTGTTGCCCTTTGTGGGTAGGCTGATGAAATGTAATTAGTTCCTAGAATGATTCTGTGAAACTTTGAGCCTTTTCAAAATTTGCAAATTATTTCCTTGAGTTGTCAGCTTTGAGAGCGATTTTCCAAAGTTTCTCCTGCATTTAGCTTTCTCCCTGGTTAGCCTTGTCATACGAGAGCCACGCAGATATTAAAAGAATATAATGTGCTTTTGAGAGCCATAAGTAAAAAGCTGCACTGAATTGTCGGTAACTATTATTAGTATCCTGTTATTTTCCTGTTCCTGTACCTAGAATAGCAATAGGTTGTAATGCTTTGTTTTATAGAGCCATCCATCGCATTCAAGGACAGTGTATCCAAACTTTTGCTTGGATCAGAGTTCACTCAAGGTTTTCTTGCAGTTTACAAACACCTCCTAAAATCAGGTAGCACCCTGATAGGATCTTGCTTCTGTGCCTGCTGATGGCACATGCACATTCAATGAGGGTGTTCAGCTTGCTGAGGAGAGATGCAGCCAAAGGTTCTCCAGTAGGGTGTCTGGAGAGGTGAACAGTTGACCATATATAGTTGGTAATGACTGTCACAGGCTTTAAAATAGTTCACCGCTTTTGGCAGAGCACACTTAAGACCCTAATTATTGTTGTAATGGAACAGAGCGATTGTCTGTCTCCTCTGGGACCTGCCTTTGGCAGCACATTGTGCATGTGGCTCCCAAGGAAGACGGAAACCCCACAAGCACATGGAAAGAGAGACTTGTTTACAAACCTCTCCTGATCAGTGCATATTCTGGAGTTTGTCTTCTCATCTTCAACAGCAGTTTGTCCTAACCTTCCAGCAGAAATGCATTGACACACACTAATCTGGCTACCCCAAATTCCTCTTGAAATTTGTTAAACTGACTCAATTTGTTATGGCAGCAAATGGTGTTTTTTTATTCTGTGCTGCATAATGATTTATCAGCTCCTGCCTCATCAGTGAAGATGCAGAAAAGCAACTGGTCCATCTTTAACTGCAATGCTGCAGTTTGCAAAGATCCCAAATGTCATCTCGTTCCTTCCTACCCAGCAGCCCAGTCTGAGTAAGCAGGTGAGGATTTCTGGTGTGTGTTGTGTTTTGCATACAAACTTCCATGAATATTGTGATGCTTATTGAAAATGTTGATATGCCAGGACACTCCTTCCAAAAACTGGGCTCTCCTAAGGCATCAAGTGCAAAACTAACTCAACGCTTCTGAAAACCCTGTCTAATATACACACTTGTAGCAGTATCAATAGTATGCCATGGCATTATTCAGTTTGACATAAATGGACATGCTTTTTCTTTTAAAAGTAAAGCTAGAAATGGATCTCAGTTTGGCTTTTAAGTAAGTAGCTGTAAATAAATGCTGGCAACCTTTTCTGAGCTGAGGTTGTACTGAGGCTGACACAGAAGTCTGTTTTGTGTTGTGGCTGAGCAGAGGTGGGTCGAGGCCACACATAACATCAAGTGAGCACCTTGGCATGATTAAGGTCCACAAGATTTTGCATTGCTGTGTTTCTCTGTGATGCAGGCCAGAAAGGATTGGCTTGGTGACTAGAGAAGACATAATTTGTTTCTTTAGAAAAAGGAAACAATCAAAACCGTAAGAAGAGTTTCAGTAAAATTAGATTATGTTGTTGAGGGATGCTTTCTTAAATAGAAACTGACTTTTTAATCGCTGCCTCTATTAAGAGAGAAGATGAATTTTCTCTTACTTTTCCCCTTGTTTACTACCTCAGGGTGGGGAGGGGGAGAAAAATGGGAGGATGGAAGAGAAATGTACAAAATGGCTGAAAACCTTAAAAATGTGGGAATATTTCATTTTCTGTCAAAATTGGGAGCTTAGAAAGATTTGCAGAGAAACAGGAATGTGCTTTTTCCACTGTTTAAAATGAAACGTTATTTCAGCTATGTAAGCCTCCCTGCTTTTAGGTTGCTGTGGTGCTGGAGACATTTGTTTTTGAGATGAGAAGGTAAACTGGTATTGTAACTGTTTGTGGTTATTTAAAAATATTTTGACAAAAACTTAGGCCTGTTTCATCCTCGTGTCTTGGCCCAACATCTCTCTGGGAACTTCCATCCTGCCTACCTGAAGTGACATTTAGATTCAGTGTCTTACCCCTTCTGCCACAAATACAATATGATGTTGTAAGTACTGTTGTAAGGGGCTGTATTTTGACCCCAAAGAGGCATGTTTGTAAGTGGCAAGTGAAATAACTCTCTGTCTACATGGCTCTACATCTCTTGGGTATCCTTTGTTATCATTTTAATAAACCTGTTAGGTACCATGGCAACTGGGTGTGATAACAACAGCCAAAGCAGGCTTAGATGGAAGAAATTCTAAGCAGGATAGAATTTTTTTTTTTTTTGAGTATTTGCCATCTTGGTGCTGTGTACAATGTGGATTTTTTCCATTTGCAAACCAAAGAAGGGTTTGTCTGTTCTAAGGCTGTAGCAATTTTGCTTGGTTGACTTCATGATTGCTGGAATAATCTCTAGCCTCTTTCATACAAAAGTATTTGAACTTCTGTAAATATGGTTTCAGGGGGATGCACTTTTGGGCAAGTAGATGCCAAGCAGCAAAAGGCTGGGGGGCAAGGCGATGTTGGTTTGGTTTTATTTTTTTCTTGTTTTCTTCTTATTTTTTTTTCTTGTTTTCTTTAGCCCAGTTGCACACATGCTGTTCTTGTTCAGTCTTCTGAAAGCCCTACATACTTCGCAGAGGGCAGCATGATTCCCCATTTCCCTTCCCCATTAATTTCCTCTCTATTGAGTCTACCCGTTAATGAAGATTACAACAATTTGAAGGGTTCCCTACTTCTTCATCACTTCTGTGGCTGTCTCATGCATGCTGTCCCCAGCCCTAATAAGCTGTGATGGGATCAGCTGAGAATCACCCTGTGCCTCCTTTCTTCTGCGCTTTCTCTCTGTGCTGGGATGCAAAGAGAAAAGACAGAGAGATCTGACTGTAATTGCTCAATATTGTGCAGATAGGAGAAATCCTAAATTGTAAGTTAAACCCAGCTAGAGCGATATTTTGTATTGCAGGAGTGATGCAGTGAACTGTGAAACAGTTCAATATGTGTATGTACCTGCTTAGTTATTATTCATTTATTGTTGAAGCTGGTAGAAAGTAACTTCAAAAATTTAGCATTTGAATGGGAGATGAATATTTATTTGTTTTCCAAAGGCTTGTGCATAGAAACCACTTAAATATTATTGATCTTATGTTACTTCTTTAAATGACCTGTTGAATTGCCCCTCAACTACATTAGCACCTGTTTATTGACAGAGGTATGGTATTGCTTGTGAGTGCAGAGCTAATTTTTTTTTTTCCTCCTCACATATAGTAAGTGGCACTTAAAAAAGGAAAATGTTTCTTGTGTTGGCAGTCATTCCATGTATTACGTTACCTGTTTTCTTTTGCAGGTTTCTAACTTATTCCTACCTTCTGGCCTTCAATGCATGGCTTTTGCTGGCACCGATTACCCTCTGCTACGACTGGCAGGTTGGCAGCATCCCTTTGATCGAGTCCATCTGGGATGTGAGGAACTTAGCCACAGTGTTCCTGGTGCTGGTGATGACATTACTCAGCCTACACTGCATAGCTGCATTCAAGGTAACACCAAAAGACATGCAATACAACGTTTTGCTTAAAATATTTTGTTTCCTGTTCTTCAGATGAAATGGTCAGTGCAAGTTTTCCTCTCAAATACATTTGATAGAGATGAAAAAAATATACTGGTATGTAACTGACACAGGCAAGTTTAACAGATGAAAATGTCCCTCTAGTTGAATGTCTCAGTCTCTAATTGGTCTGATTTGAAGGCAAAACTTGGCCTGGAGTCCTGCATTCAATTACTGTTAATGATCCAAAGGCCACTGAAGTTGTTAAGGGTCTCTGCCTCTCCCATAGTCATTAGGCTCTTTGTCACTTGCTTCAAACAGCACTGGGGACTGTCATCTGCAGTGCCATTTGAAAATGAAATAAATTATTGCATTCGTACCTTTGCTATGCTTCTAAAACCTAAATGTTGGATACATCTTGATGAGAAAATTTCTCATCAACGAAGGAATGGAATGTGGGAAATCTGAAATTTTCTGGAAATTGTTATTTAGCATAAATAATATAGTTGTGAAGCCACACTTCACAATTCAGCATTTCAGATCCACCATAAATCGTATTGCAGAAATTAAGATGAGGTTCTACTAGAGTTGTCAGAGATCAGATAGATCATGGAAGGGTCTTTTTGTGGATCTTAGGGAGTTACAAGCTACTTCTCCTTCACTTGTGTTGTGGAAAGGTGTTGGTGATCATTTTTGAAATAGTACAACGGTTTCTCTTCCTTAAATACATGCATCGCTGGAAAGCATAGTATGGGAGAGATAGGCTTTTAATAGCTATGTTATGCTAAAACATGCAGGTCATGTACATGCTTCAGTCTATCCTGGCAGTCTTCTCTGTGCTCCTGATAAGAGACAGAAAATGAACCAAACAGTTTGAGAATGCAGAGTTATTAATATAGCTTGTACATTGACAGATGCTGTATGGGAAATATGTGAAAATACCCTATTAGGTGTTCACTAGTTCTACCTGCAGGTTGTACATTGTCTTGTATTCCTTCTGCTTTCATTACTCACTGCTAGAGATATTCAGAAGTGTTTGTTTTAGACCTAATCCTGTTCCCATGGAAGTTAATGATAAAATTCTCATTAGTGCAGTACTGACCACTTCTGAAAAACCTTCTCCTGTGTTCTTTGAAGTTTTGGTTGCTTTTTATTTCTTCTCCTGTTAATGTGTAAGATTAACATTGTCGGTTTGCTGGGAAAAAAACCTTTCAGGATTATCCAGAGACATTTTGTGTTATTTTATTTTGGGTAAAATGATAATCCAAAAGGATTCCTTTGCGTAACTGAATAGTTTGTCTTCTGTCAAACTACAAAACAAAATATTTCAAAACGCTTTGTACATTAAGTGTCTAGATTTTATCACATTTTTATTTCTTCTGTTTGTTTTGTTTTGGGGTTTTTTTGTTTTGGTTTTTTTTTTTTTTTTAGTTTTATGCTGAACCAGTCTGGATTCATGAATAGCACTGTTTGATTTGAAACTACAACTTCTAATTTTTTGTGAGAATAAGTTCTCTGCTTTCCTCTTAACCACTGTTAATGTTGCGTTAAGCAAAATGAATTTCACTCTCCAGGCATTTACTTACTGGATGCTTCGAAATGAATCTCATAGATTTGTTTGTGTTTACCCTTGAAAACCTCAAACACGGAATAAATTGGATCTGAAGTGATTCGCTTTTGTGTCTAACACAAGTAAAACCAGAACTGTCACCTATTTTTGATGAAGTGCTCTAATCAGTCTCCACTCACAAGCCTTCTAGCAAACCCACTGTGAACATGGAACTAGTAATGATTCCTGGGGGTCACCTTGGACATGCTTACCCCAGCCCTAGGTATAATCAGAGGTAGCTGAAATATCCTCCTCTTCAGAAAATTCTAAATTTCTGAAGCTATTTTCTATTTTATTTCTAACGACTCTCATAACAACCCAATTGGGATACTGCCATTAAGTGGTATGAAGATGATTGTGTTGTGCCAAGTAGAATGAAATATTGAGGAGAGCAAACAGTAGGAAGAAGCACATTTCCTGGAAATAAATTATCCTGTTTGGCCTCGGACACTCTCAGGAATGTCTTCTACAGCAAGGAGAGGGAAGTTTAAGACACATGAACTGCAGGCACAATTCATTATACGAGGCTGTTAAGAAAGCTTCTTTCCAAATGCAACAGTGGTGGCCTTTCATATGACATTGCTCCCCCCCAAGAAGGACCATCCTTCAGTCAAGCCTCAGACAGGCTATTTCTCAGTAGTTTGCAGCTTGTAGGCAGCATGAAATGCGTCAGTTGATTTTTCATGTTTCATAAAGTATAAGATGTTCTGCTTTCTTTTTGGAGCAAACACACCAAAGTGTCTTAGCAGCCATTTTTCTCTCCTTTTTCATTGCTAAGTCTGACCTGGAAGCAATAGAATCATAGAACAGCTTGCAACTTTCTAAGGAATGGTTTTAGAGTGAACAGGTATGCAGTTTGTGTGCCTTTTGCTTGAGTGTATAAGTGTGCAGGGGTAAGAGGACAAAACGTCATACTCATTCTCATTGGCACTAACACTTTCCTTTCTGTGCCATGGAGAGTAGAAATGCTAGAAAAGATTTTGGCAGAAGTGAAAACATTTGTGCAGCGAACACTGAAGTGATTTTCAGTGGCAAGAGGTGATGCGTGTGCATCCACAATACAAGCTCACAGGAGACTTGCAGAATATATTACATGGACTGTAATTAGAGAATGCATGTATTGGATTTCTGCCTTTGTTGCCACTGAATTTTAAACAGGGCTAATTTGTTGTTGACATTTGTGATTATGATAATAACCCTGTTGGCATGTGTGTGTAGTGCTGATAAAGGACATCTAAGGCATGAAGCTTTCTTGTTCCATTTCATCTTGTGAATGTTATTGTACCTCGGAAGGAGAAGAAATAGTTCTTTGTTTGGAACATGCCTGTTGCTAGATGGGGGGGTTTTATGCTGAAAACTACAGAAACAGAGAAGGCAGCTCTCCAGTTCATTGTTTTTTGGAGAGAGAAGCCTCCCTCCTTGTCCTCCTTGTGTGTTTTTGCTGTTGTTCTCCTTCTTACCTGATGAAGGAGGTCGCTTGAAAAATTTGTTTGTTAATTCCTTGTATATAACTTTTATTCACTGGATCATTCTCTGTGTGCAGTGCTAATCCCTCCTGCTTATCAGCCAAAGAGCTCCCCTTGAGGAGCTCCTCGAGAAGGACTTGTTGCTCTGCATGATGTTTAGGTGCACAGCCATGCTTGCCTCTTGCTGCAGCCGTCCTTATCACATGTGACAATTAATATCCATCTTCAGGAGGCCTGATGGGAGTAAAGAAAAGGCCTGCTCCTTGGCACGCCTCCCTTTCTGGGAGTAAAGGACCTTGCTGTCATCTCTGGCCAAGATTTTTTTTCACAGTGACTAGTGTGGCAAAGTTGCAGTCCGTCATTAAGCAGCTCTTCTCAACATTTTGAGATTTGATTTTTCACTATGCAGATGCCCAGCGCGCTCTGCCAATTGGCCTCTCTTGAGCTGTTTTAGCCAAGGCACCAGGAGTCACTGACGGGTCTCAAAATCCTCAGGTTCTGCTCAGCTCTTTGCGGTGAACTTCCTCACCCAGTCTGGTTGGGCTTCGAGTAGCATGCCAGGGATGTGACAAAAGCTGGGGATGCTATTGCAAACACCTGCATCCCACAGAAGTCATAATAGTTGGGAAAAGAGGATGGGATTTGTTTATTGTTCATTTTCAAAGCTAGCCTGAGCTGTGAGGATGCCTGTCATCTGTCTTGCAGTTTGGGACTAGTTAGATTGCGAAGGTACTGATGAAATGGATGAAGCACTCTCTTTTTGGTTGCCAAGCACACCAGTTAGAAGGCCAGAGAAAAGATCTGACTGATGCTTCAAATGGCCACTAGCATTTCCAAGGGCCCATAGCGGTGTCTTTCTGTGCTGGAAGAAACAGCGAGCACCTGGTGAACTAGAGAGGACAACTACTCTTGGCATATCCTCAGGATGACAGTTATTTCTTGGACATGTCATAGTGATTCAATGAGCATGAAAGGAAAACACTTCAGATCTTTGAAACGTCACTCTGCATAGCATTTTCGGGTTGCTGCTTAATTAGCAGTGTGGTTAAAATGCAGCTTGTCCTGCAATTGTAGTTGTGAATGTATGTATGGAGCCCATGCTTTGTATGTGGCACCTGATACAAGGAGGGCTGATAGTGGGAAAACTTGTGTGTGTGCGATGGGGTAATTCAGAGCAAGGTGACCTGGAAAACTAATTAGAAACAGTAGCCTTTGTACCTGACCAGTCTGGGGGAATTTATTGCACCTCATACTGCTTGGCCCATGTCTTGCATTTAGATTCGTGACCAACGCTGTGGAGGTATCTTATGGTGGTTCACAGCACCTTCTGCTTGTTCAACAGGAACACGTAATGGTGTGCAACAGTTTGCTTATTGTCTGAGGAGGGAGTGTTCACATCAATTAAAAAAAAAAAATCTCTAGTGTCCTCTAGGCTATATCTTTTTAAAGAACGTGCTTTGCTGCTCTGTGTGACATGGCTACCTATCATACATGAAATTGTGATGATTTTCAGGTTATATTCATTACCTGCAACTGAGATACATATTATTATCATGTTCTTTCATATGCTACAGTTGGTTGTTTTTTACTTCAGGTCTAATTTTAAGGTACTGCTGTTTCTGCATTTCTCTGCATACTGCTTCTTAGACAAAACAAGGCATTTTGTACCAAATTATTATGACTGTAATTTGTGATGTAATTGGCATCATATTGCCATTTATCTGGTGGTTTATATGTATGAATATCGTCTAAGCATATTCCTCAGTCACTTGCAGACTATATTTCTTAGCTGAAAATGTTTAATACCATCAAGGAGAGGAACACATTTGCATCTTTCTGTGCATATTTCTGTTGTTTTTGCTAGCACTCATTATGTGTATTCTGTCATGCTATTTACTTTACCCTGCACTCCTGAGACCTTTGCCTCGTTTCCCAGGTTTGGCATTTCATTAATAAATCACAGCTTATGGACCTTTCTGGGGA